CCCGACTTTTCTTTAATGATATTTTTCATATTAATTTTCTTTATACAGTTTTTCTCCTATATATAAAAGTATTTATTTTAACAATACGTTTTGTAAGAGAGAAAAATTGGGGGAACACCTAATTTTCCATGGCTAATAGAATGGATTAAAATAATTTTGATTCATTTAGCTAATAAATGTTTATGCAACCGTTAAAAACTTGAAATAATATGCTGGAATAGTTAATATTATTTCTAATTCTTCCTGYAGATTCTTTATATCTACAGAAATCCTAAAGATGTTTTGGTTTCCTTTTTTCGTTTTTCAAATTGTGTGGCTATCTTAAAGAATTCTGATACTTTTGAGAATTATATAAAAATGTTTCTAGATGGAAAAGGTAACTATGAGTTTATTTATCAAGAAACTTAGGGAAGATATGAAGAGAGATGGAAAAAGGCAATTGTACAATGGATGCTCTTGAGTAGTTAGTCTGCCACCCAGTGGCCTTTCCTTCCTTGCCAGGACCATGTGGGTCTTGTCAACTTTTCAAAGGCATGTTGTTTAGAAAACATTTTGACCAGTCCATAAGAGGCTTACACGTATTCTCTCAAATTAAACTAGCTACAAATATAATTAAAATAATACATTCCAGAATCACTAATGATCAGGGTGTTTGTGTACTCTCTCATTGACCTTTGGTAAGCCTTCTTGGGCCATGGTGGAGTTTATCACTCCATTACTGATGAGGATTGAATGTTGCAACGGACTTGTAGTGAGAAGTATCAGGATCTCACTGATTTAAAGATTACATTCAGGTTCTGTCTCATTGTAGACAGGTAGCTTTGCTATCCAGAGATCTTAGAGAATGAGAAGAAAAATGGACATGTGTGTTTTCTGATGGATATAGGAAAGTGGAGGAACTTGCTTTAAAGAAATCTGATTTAAACTTAGACCCAGGGGCTTTCTCATTTCTTTATTGCTGCCTTCCTGCATCCAGAAGGTTGCTTTTCATGGTCACTTCTCTATGAAAACCATGATTGTTCCCCTAAGCAGTAATCATTTCAAAACAATAATATAGAATTTCAGTGGTTGGGACCTTTATTTTTATTTTTGTGACTATAAGGAGGAAAAGACAGAATGCTTTGCTATTCAATAAGTGCAACATCTTCACCTTCTTACAAATTATTTTTTGCACAGTGGTGGGAAGTCGTTGGTTTGATCACATAAAACGCTGGTATGAACACAGACATGATTTCAATATTCAGTCCATGAGCTATGAAGATATGAAAAAGGTAAAATAAGAAGTATTTTTTTAAAATTCTATTTTTAAACCTTTTTTCTCCTGGTTTCAGGAAAACTCATTCTCCTAGTCATTTTCATACATATTTCGTAGGCTTTTGGGGGGTTAGTGGGGGTTCTAATTTCTTGCTTATCTATTAATTATTACTGGTTTTCCTCAAGGATTTGTTCTCACTACACACAGTCACCATGGTTATCATTTTAAAACTGAAGCAATAAAGGCAACCTCAAATATCTAGGATACCAATCTTTTAAATCATTTTTATTAATATTAATTACATATTAACGGGTTTTGGTRTCTGATTTCTATATGACCATGCAACATGCACTGATCATATCCAATCTCCCTTCTTCCACTCTTACCTCCCCTTCCCCCTGGACTCTTCACAGGCCCTAGTATTCACGATTCTACTTTCAGTCCATATTTGTTGTTCTCAAGTGTGTCTCTTGCACTACTTGCCTTCGTATGTCTGGCTTATTTTATTTAACATGATTTCCTCCAGTTCATGAATTTTGCTGGAAGATTTCACTTTTTATATCTGAATAATAGTCCAGTGTGTGTGTGTGTGTGTGTATGTGTGTGTGTGTGTGTGTGTGTGTGTACCATATTTTCTTTATGTGTTCATCTTTGATAGTCACCTAGGCTGAATCCTTATCTATTGTGAATAGTGATACAATAAACATGAACATGTGAGTTGTCTCTTTTATATATATACCCAGGAATGTAACAGTTGGATTATACAGTAGTTCTGTTTTTAGTTTAGTTTTTTTTTTTCTTTGAGGATACACCATACAACAAAGTTTTTTCCATGGTAGTTGTACTTAAGAAAGTTCATCAAGGAACACCATGACACTGCGGGAAGAAGCCACTTCAAAGACAGGATAATTGTTGCTATAGATGAGGGTGAGCCCTATGAGGCATGTTCTTCCTGTTTTTTAAAGAGAATCTTAAAACTAGTTCTCATGTGAAGTCATAGGATGCTTATATGCTGRTGAAAGTTTCAAAACTGCCTGAAAACTTTGTGTAATTCAAACAYAAGATAGTTGAAGTTTATTGTTCTGTGGACTCTAGTTGGTATGTGGATTCATTAATACATCATCTATTCAGTTACTTAAACAATCACTGAATGATTGCTCTGTGACTGGCACTGAATTGTGAGTAATAGATGAATGAATTTTTATAGACAGAACTCATAATCTATCAGGGAAAACAGGTACTCACCAAGCTAGTATATGTAGTTCAAAAGAAATAAGTGAAATTATTAAGGAAAAGTCTAACTACAATGTCAATGTGCATATGCTCTGAGAGTATCTAGTATATTTGAAAGTGATGGTCTTTTTTTTCCTGAAATAAATAAATAAGAGCTAACAGAAAAAAAAAGAAATGTGAGAGACGTATAAGAAAAAAGGAAAATACATGAGACCTTTGAAGACCTAAGGGAAGAACTGGAACAATGTGTTCGAGATGAAATATTAATATAGAGGGGTTTTGTAGGAGCCAGATTTTATAAGATCTGTAGGATATGTTAATGAGAGTGATTTCTTTAAAGTTAAAAGTAGTCAAGAGCCTCTTAAAGAATTATTAAGAGGGGTAGCCATAGAATACAATTTATATTTTTGAATGTTATTTCCATTCATGAATTAAAAAGAAAAAATAGTGAGTATAAGGAATCCAGTCCAGACACAGACCAGTGTGTTAATCCACTGAACATCAGTGCTTCCTTGGATTGGAGTAATGTCATTATGAATGAAGAGAATACAGAGTTTTGAGGCACAGCTAAGATGTAAAAAGAAAAGGGATTGTACAAAGGACAAATGACAAAGAGAGAGGTATCAAGGATGCTTCCTTTATTTCCAGTTGGTGCATCTGTGCAGATCGTGGTCTCATTCGTGAAGGTGTTTAGGGCACTCTGAGGCAGGGTTGGGTTAGAGGGATATCAGAGGAGCTTGAATATGATGTTGTTTTTGACCTATGAAGATTAAAGTGATTTAGAAGAAATCAAATGAATAGACTGAGTAACAAATGAAAAATACAAATCAAAAGCTCAAAAAATATTTCTGCCTTTAGATATTAATGCCATTAATTTGAACATCATCACTATAAAGAATATAATGGCAGCAGCTTGGGAGGCTGAAGCAGGAGGGTTGAGAGTTCAAAAGTAGCTTCAGCAATTTAGTGAGGCTCTAAGCAACTCAATGAGACCCTATTTTAAATTAGAATATAAAAAGGAATAGGGATGTGGTTCAGTGGTTAAGTGGCCCTGGATTCAATTCCCAATACCAAAAATAAAATAGAATGTATGAGAAGAATGAATGTGATTAAAATTAATTGGGGTAGGGTTAAGTAAGGGTCTAAAGGAGAGAAGGAATATAGACCTTGGTCAACTGAAGTTTTCAGCTTTAGAGCTCTTTCTAGAGAAACCTCACAATGATGTCAAAAATTAGATATTCAGGGCCGGGGTTGTGGCTCAGTGGTAGAGTGCTTGCCTAGCATGTGTCAGGCACTGGGTTCTCTTCTTAGCACTGCATGTAAATAAATGAACAAAATAAAGGTCCATAAACATGCAAACAATATTTTTTTAAAAATTAGGTATTCATTAAAGTTGGAATACATTTTGGGTCTTCCTTTGTTTGCTGCTTCCCTTGGAAATGTCTTGGTAGTTTTAGGAAACACTGCCCATGCCTGCTTCTCCAGTGATAAACCCAGCAAGACGTATAAACTCAGGGCACTTTCTCTCAGAGGATTTTTCACATTTCTCACTTAATTAGTAGTCGTAGCCCTAGAACCTTAATGACTAAGCAGGATTATTTTCTACTTTCCTGTCACAAGTAGAATCAAGTGGTATATAACTGAACTAGAAACAATTATAACTATAATGTTTAAAGATTCATATTTAGGTGGGTAAAGTCAAGTTAAAAGACCAATAGTTCATTATCATTTAATGAGGATGGAGGTTACCATTGGGGGAAGGACAAGGTTTAAAATGAGGAAAGGGTGTTTATTGGGGGGTTCTGGAATGCGTGTCATTTTCATATGTGTATTTTAAAATGTAAAAATTGTAGAAATACTTTAATTTATCTTAAGAGAAATTATACTCCCCTTTGGGGGGAGTCTGATATGAGAGATTTAATCATTCCCATCCTGTTATCTCTTCCTTTAATATATTGGAACTGGCTGATGCCTCTAGGAAAGAAAGGTATACATACCTGAAGGGTGTGGTGCCATTGTCTTTGTAGACCCCACAAATACAGTGGTAAAGAAGAGAGCTGCCAGTTGTGTTACATGAAAAACCATTTTGTGAAATATGGCTAGAATATTGGACAGTAATAGGTAGTAGAATTAGGGAATGGCTGGTGTGCTGAAGAACTGGCCGAAGTGCAAGACTGTAGTAAGACCTAGAGAAGAATCTCTGAATCTATGTTATGGTTTAGATATGATCTGTCCCCCAAAAGWTCATATGTGAGACTATGAAAGAAAAGTTTAGGGATGATATATGATAGGATGATAAATGCCCTGATCTAATCAAGTCATTAATCCCCTGAGTGGTAATTGGAGGAGGTAGGTCATCAGGGATATTCCTTTGTCATGAGCTGATTGGAGCTCTCTCKGCTTCCTGGTATGATGTCTTGAGTTGCTTTTCTCCATCACATTCTTTCACCATGATGTTGTGACTCACTTCAGGCCCTGTGGAATGG